ACCGCCCTAATCGGCCCTGCTCTGAGCCTGACCAGGGGCTGCACCTAGGAATTGGGCCTGCCCTCTGCCACCCGGGAGCAGGCCTAAGCCAGCAGGGCGTTATCTCCCGAGGAATCCCAGACTGCGAGAGGGCACAGGCCGGGCTGAGGGACCCCCACTCCCCCCCGAGTGCACAAATTTTTGTGCACTGGGCCTCTAGTATATATATAAAAAGAAGTGGGCAAGCAAAAGCACTCAAGGAAAAAAATGGCATTTATACAAGTAATACAGTTCTCAGTTCTGTATTACTGAGAACAAAATAATTTGGGGCAACATGGAATAGTTACCAAAATAAGAAAACCTACTAACCTAGAAATTCTACTTCAAGGAAGAATAGACAAATTGGATTGAGACAAGAAACTGGGCAGTCCAGTTATACAGAGGAAATCAATAAAAATGAAGAAAGCATTTTACATGATGGCTAAGGTACAAATTATTTAATAAGCTTAAGGCAATTTGCTACCCATGTGAAACAAGATAAAGTGCCTTACTTCACAACTTACCCCTACCGCCCAATAGATATCCTAGCTTGATGAGTTAAAAAGTGATTTGGTGTTTTTCTGTATTGTTTAAATATTTTTACAGGGAGGACTGAGAACTGTATTACTCGCATAAATGCCAACAGGAAGAACAAAATTAATGAAGAAAAAATAGCAGTCTAGCAAAGTGATTTACAGAATTAGTTTTCCCACAGTTTCTCCCATGAATAATGAACACTTAGAACTGCAGGACTGCAAGCCTAGTGCCAAGTGCTTTAAACAGTGGAAATGCGAATGCTGGCACCGACAGGCATGGTGCCAGTCCTGGCCCCCAGCAAACCTAACTGCCCTGGAAGCCCAGGGAGAACACTGGCTATTCCAGGTGGGGCTAAACAACAGGAGCCGTGTGGTTCAGGTTCACGCCTGGAAATAACAGAATATGCTTCCTTATTGTCCTGATTTTGAATTTCTGACCATTTTAAGGAAAAATCTTTATTAGTACAGCCTCAGGTTTCAGCTGGCAACGCCTCACAAACATCCTTTTGCTGTCACCACAGGGAATGAGCTATGAATAACCAATATCCTTGTCCACTACTCTGCACTCTTCAATCTAGCGTCTTGCTTAAAAAGAACAAGAGGCCTGGCTGATCGTAGACCTATGAAGCAGGTCACGGTTCGATTCCTGGTCAGGGTACATGCCCGGGTTGCAGGCTCGATCCCCAGTAGGGGGTGTGCAGGAGGCAGCCGATTGATGTTTCTCTCTCTCTCCCTTCCTCTCTGAAATCAATTAAAAATATATATAAGAACAAGAGGTCATACCCAGAGCTCACTGAACACAAAAGGTGACGTGTAAGACTGGCACTTCTAAAATTCTTGGTTGAATTTGCTTGTAAAATCACCCATGCCTTGTGTTTTCCTTATGAAAAGATGTTATTTATGCTTTTTATAAATAATAAGCTCTACTTTAAAAAATATTTTTATTGATTTCAGAAAGGGAGATGGAGAGAGAGATAGAAACATCAATAAGAGAGAATGATTGATGGGCTGCTTCCGGCATGCCCCCTACTGGGGATCAAGCCTGCAACCCGGGCATGTGCCCTTGACTGGAATGGAACCTGGAACCTGCAGTCCACAGGCTGACGCTCTATCCACTGAGCTGAACCAGGTATATAACCTCTTTTTATTAGCTTTGTGGCTCTTCAAATTCTCTATTTCATCTTGTGTCACTTAAAAAAATTTTTTTTAGGAATTCATCCATTTCATTTATGTTGTAAATTTGTTATTGAATAAATTCACTTATAAAAAAAGATCCTATTTGGGAATGACAGTCAAACCAAATTCTTTGTCGTATAAATGTCTCATACTGCTGTTTTATTTCAGGGGATTTGTGTAACTGACCTGGTGCAGTATTTATAAATATAAATACTCCTTTGTGCTAAGGGCATTATATGATTATTCACTTAATTCTCATGACTGTCTCATGAAGGAAGTAGATTATTATTGCCATTTGACAGAGGAGGAAGCGCAAGTACTGCCACAGGTCAGAGCTGGTGTGCGAAGGAGCCAATCTAGAATCCAGGCTGCATGTCAATGTCCCCCTACAGATTGCACCCAGGGACCCAGACTGATCTCTGCAAACAACAAACATCTTTCTTGTGGGACAACAGCCATCTTTCTGTCTTCCGTTTTTCTTCAAGTGTGGAAACTACTCTTCACGCCCCACTCC